AAGGTTTGTGGGAGCAGTTCCTATAGAATAGAATAGAATAGAATAGAATAGAATAGAATTCTTTATTGGCCAAGTATGATTGGACACACAAGGAATTTGTCTTTGGTGCATATGCTCTCAGTGTATATAAAATAACACATATAAAATATGTTAAAATAAATAATTTTGTAAAGTTAATCAGCATGAATACCACTATTAACTTAGATTTTATTATTTTAAGAAAATTAAAACATTAAATAATTTTATAAATTATTAAAAAATAAATTAAAAATGGCAAAAAAAAACCTATGTAGTGCATTCAGTTGATCCAGCAGGCTTTGCTCTACCATACCGCTTCGTTCAGACAACATTTTTTGTGTGCCGAACCAGTAGTAATGCCGGCAGGAACCCACCCCTGCACCAAGCCTCGGGGTATGGCCTGGTATCAGGCCGTGACCCTCACAAGTGGTGGATGAATACGAAAGCTCCATTTGTACAAGTGGCAGACACATGCACGAAACCATTCTCCCCACCACCACCACCACCATTGCTGGACTATGGAGCTGGAAAGGTTGGGGAACGCTACAGTACAGTGTTTGTGGTCATAACTTATTTTTGTAAAATTCATTTAGCATTTCTTCATTATTTGAAAATACTAACACTTCTTCAGGCAATTTTACTTTAATGTATTATCTCACCACCAATTTATTCAAAATAAAACTATTCTGCTTGTAATTTTCTAAATGTTCTCTGAATCGTATTTAAAAAAACATGGCATTACTCTTGTTTTTAGCATCCCAATATTATATGCCAATGACAATCTTTTTAACACCAATTTTATTTATTACGCATATCAGGGCATGTTAATACTTCTCAGATAGAAGCATCTGCATGAATGAAGGATTTCATCAAAATGATAAAAAGAGAATTGCAGTCTTGATACAGTACATATACAAAAAGGGTACAGTTTGCATCACAATAGCACAATGTTGCCTCTTATGGCCCTATTGTGGATGCCTCTATCCTCATTCATAATTCTCTATTCTCTCCTGGAAATAAAGGGGTGGCATTCAGCCAAACAGGGTATCCTTCGGATATTCCATAATTAATTGATTTTAATGCTACGATTCTCTATATAAAACCACAAAAGATTTTCTTTCAAAAGACCACCTACCCCTCTTCAATTCTGACAGAATTCATGATGATGCAGTTAGTAATTTTAACTTTGTCTTTGATCAAGCATGAAGTACCAATGACAGAACGCTTTACTGAAGTCTTTTCGCCTATTTGAGATGATGCACCTACAATGCTGTCAGATCCAACCTATAGAGGAAGAGAAAAAAACAGAACCACCAAGTATTAAACAATATATTCTCTTTGAGTTGCTGATAGCTGCCAATTAACAGACTGAAGAGACCCAAATTAGCTTTAATGAAGCCTCAAGAATCTTTTTCTTTTTTCACATGAAAAAGATCTACTTTTTTCTGTTGTATTTTGGAGAATACAAAGCACTCCAAATGGATTAGTAAAAGAGAAATTGAGTTGTTTTGAATATGTACCATAGCTACTAAATTGATGTTCAAGTGATTAAGGTTTTTTGACTGCACTTTTCAAAAACATAAAAAGAAATAATTCTGTCATCTGGCACTTTCTCTGAAGTTAACTGTTTCCAGCCTCCTGGAATAAATAGTATACATTATAAATACATATATAATAGTCCATTGCAGGGAGTTAGCGAAGTCAGACTAGATAGATGTAAATGCTACTTTTATAATTAATAAAAATAAGTGCACTTCAGCAATACCAACCCAGCAGATCAAGCATACAGTAGGTCTTGTTCCCATGATCTGTTTAACTCTCTAGGAGGGTTCTAGGAGAAGCATGTTCTACACCGTCAAACCTGTCGGCCGGATGCATCATCTGCAGGCCACCCCAAACCCAGCTCCGCGAATGGGGAAAATGTTGTGATATGTCACATGAGGGCAACGTGACACTGTGAGGTTGACATCCGTGTTCTACACAAACACATGAACAAGTGGACAGGATTTTTTTTTTGTGCCATGTGAGAAAATCTGACTTGATTAAAGTAGAAGGTGGTCATTTCACACAATCCTACCTGCCTTGTACTCATACCCAGACCCATTCTCTTTCTCAGCAAGTCTGAATGCAATGCATACATCTTTTATGGACCTTAAGATTTCCTGTGCAATTGCTCCTGCTTTATTCACAAAAGAGTGTCGTCCTCATAGCATTAGAAAATTTGTTATCATCTATCCTACTTAGTTTGCCTAAACTAAGCATTTTTTCTTACCTGCTCTAAAACTCAGAATCTTAATCTACTCATTGATCGTGATACCAGATCCTAATCGCTCTGAAGCTGAAACCCTTGCTTCCTACTCCAGCAAACAAGACAAAACAAAACTGAAAATTATAATTATCTGTTCATTCAGATGTGCAGAGAAATGGTTAAAATACAAAGGTATATTGCCTGAAAGCTGGAAAGAGCTTTCATTATAACAATATTTACTAGGAAAAAAAAACATGAAAACAAAATGCTATGCCATATTTATTTACCTCTATCTCCCCATTATCCCCTTCTTGCTACTCACCATGCACTTATCAATAATCTGAGCAGAACTATGAACCAGAGGTTCTTCAGGACAAAGTGAAGGTAGCATTTTGGGAACCTGAAATAAAAAAAAATAGAAATCATACATTAATGCTCTACCAAACACACTCCTGTTTCTAATATAAAAATTACCATTAGTTTACTCAATTAAAGTTATTATGTTCAAGAGACTAAAAAGGACATGCATAAAAAGTGTGTGCGCGTGTGTAAAACCTCTTATGTCCTAATTATGCATGATGATTTTAATTTTTTAAACAGGCAACAATCAATTAGGCTTCAGGAGACTATAGGAAGTTACAGGCTGTGCAAGTATTTCATATATCAAACTTAGTCTAAGTTTGAACATTGCTTTGGCGTTACACACTGAGCAAAAATATTAGAAGAGAGATAAATTGTAAATAGATTTCAACTGATAAACCCATTTGGAAATAAACTGAAATAAGTGGAGTCCCTCCACCACTATCTGCAAATAAGCAAGTCACTTGCAAAGAAGCAATTATTTAAAATTGTTTAGAACACATGCTAAAGGGCCTTCATAGGTGGAAAATGACAATTAAATGTTCAGGAACACCAGGAAGAGTTAAAATTATTTTCCTATGATGTTTGTAATGAACATCTAGTTCTTTGTGATCCCAGCAAGATACATCTAATTTGCGGGCTGAGCCTTTTGTGTAGCCTCCCTTCAGCAATAGATTGTGCTGTATCCTGAAATATGGATTTAAGAAAAATCTTATTGCAGGATCCAATCTGGGATGGTGACCGGGACCAGAGATTTAGTCTTCCGAGCTTTTGGTAGAGAGAAAGTCCCTAAGGATGGGCTCCAGAAGAAGTCTGAAAGCTTGGAAGGCTAAACCTCTGGTTCCAATGACCAACCCAGATTAGATCCTGCAATAAGATTATTTGCCAACAATCTGACTCTTGGCAACCCCATTAGTCAGGCCTTCTCCAGAATGATCTGACTTCACTAAAGAAATGTATTCACTTTGCTATTGGCCAATTCTTCTTTGTGCCTTTCCCAATATTATCAATTTCACAAAAGTTAGGACTTTGCAAAATACATCCAAAATCTGATAATTTGACCCTGGTTATTTGTACATCAAGGGACAATTGGTTTATTCTAGATAAACCAATTGTTCTAGATATTCTGGATTGGTTTATTCTATAATCTATTTGCTGGGTTTTTTGGATATCCATAGTGTTCTCATGAGTCTTCTCCAACAGCAAAGTTCATAACATCAATATTCTATCTTGCTTTTGATTCCATAGAATGTCTAAAAAAAACCCTAACACCTGCACAATTCTGATCTCAGCAGAAACATACACATCACAGTATCTGTATATCTTTTCCAAGACCTTCAATGTTACCCATCAAATCATAGTAAGTAGTCTGATTCTTTTAATATTACTAGTTGTTTTTTAAAGAAGTTTAACTTTTAATTCCATAGAGTGTAGCCTCCTGTCCTATGATAGGGAAGGACAATTAGTTATTCTAGGATTCACATTTTCCTAAGAATATTTCACACTGTGTCACGGTCAATACAACTAAACCATTTCTATAATCAATGAAGTAGATAATGATTTTATTTTGGACTTCTTTGGCTTTCTCAATTATTCTTTTTTATGTAGGCCTCTAATCTGCCCTGAATGATAGCGTGATTTGCCAGCATGTGGTATTTTTAAGGCTATTGTATGATACTTCATACCCTCTTAAATTTCCTCTTTTTGATATAAACTGATGTCTTCCAATTGTTGGAGTTTATTGTTCTTCAGATTTGCTGGCATAGTTCGGTTAAAGCATTTGCTTGTTCTTTTGTTGCTTGCCATATCAGTTCCTTTAGCCTTCTGACTTGATAATCACCTGAATAGTGATCTAAACAGTACTATAAATTATTGTAAATAGGAAATACCTTTAATATACAATATTTCAGTATGCTTCTTTCAAAATTTGATCTTATCTGATTGGTTACTATCTGTTCACTGATGTCGATTAACATACCAAGTTTAGATTGGAACTGTCTTCTCAGTTGAGTTCTTTTGGATGACTTTCCTTGTTTTTCCATCTTGTTTCCATCCTCAATGTCTTTACAAAGGTCGTTGTGATGCTACTTTTTGTCTCTTCTAAACAGCTCTCTAAAGTTCTTTGTTAGGTTTCTTCCTGAGGCCTTTGTCTTTCTTAGCTAGGCTTGCCAATTTCCAACATCTCTACTGGCACCAGTTGATTTGTTCCATTTTCTGGTGTCTTAGTAACTTCTTCAATTTCATTCCACAGTTCCTTTGGTTGCCTGTCAGTGAGATTCAGATCTTCAAAGTGATTCCTAATATTCTCCTTTTAAAAAGGTGGCTATGTACTCAAAATAATCTTGTGGAAACTGCTGGTTTTGTTTTTCCACTTTAGCTTGAACTGAAACTTGGATAAAAACTGTTGTGCATTTGCTTTTAGGGTTGCAAAAAGGCCAGAAGGATACCTGTTTTTATCAATTAAAAGACAGTCTGAATAACATTTATTTTAGTCTTAAGCGTTTTGCCATTGGAAATACCACTAAATTAATTATTTAAAAATTATATTGCATATACTGGTGTATATACTTATTAATCTCTTTTCATTATTAACTGACTTAAATTGTTCTTTTAAGGGTAATTACATGATATGTACATAAGATTTCTGTTTAGAACATAAAATATATATGTTTAAAAACTTCTCCCCCCCTCAACTTTACATATAATAAAAATATTTAAATATGCTGTTATATGGAAAGCAACTAATGAGACAAGCAGTTGCGTAACAGAATGTTCAGGGAGCGCCAGGGCAAGGGGTGGTTTAGTTTAACTTTAAGGTACTTTTTTCTGTGAAGTAATCTACTTCCTATTCCCAAAAATTACTCTCTCCTGCTGCCATCTGCCCACACAAAGGGAGCAGCAGACTGAAGAGGTCAACGGAAACAAGTAAAATATTTTCTAAGTACAAAAACAGGGAGCTGAAGTGCTGGTTTATTTCTGCTGCTAATTCTAATACATTAGCAGCTGTTTTCCCCCGTTATGGACAAAATATATACTGTGCTCACACTGCCATATTTGTACATGCATCTGTTGGAAGACATGGTTGAATATAATGATGCTACAATCAGTCCTTTCTCCTTTCCATGTGTAGAAATAATGGGACACAAACAAGACAGAGTGATCATACTCTCAAGCTATAGGATATAAAGGAGGCTGCAGAAAAATCATGCTATATATAAATTTCACTGAATGAACTTTCTGAATAAATCCCTGACTTTGATATGCTTTTTGATATCCACAAATCAAACCATTATGGAATATTTGGAAACCAGAACAGCTTAAGCAAAATAAAAAGCATAAGGCTATTAGAATTCTCTTTAAACTGTGAAAATTCTCAGAAGTATTAATGCTTTAGCTTAGTTAGTTTGCCTTATATTTCCATTCCAGAAAAGTTACTATTGAAGAAAATTTGTCTCTAATCGCTGAATGTTTTGTAAATATACAATATATATTAATTGGAATTATCACACGGGGAGAGAGGGATATTTGGAATACTGACTCCAAATGAATAACATATTTAGACAGATAACTCTAGAATTTGTTCTTCAATTCACTCTTGCACCTGTTAAGACTGTCAAAATGCACCAATTTTATTTCTTTCTTTTAAACCCTTGAAATTAAAATATAACTCTGTTAGCGATTGTGCATTTTTCTTTTTTCCATCTGCAAAATGAGATCTTCTATCTACTATCCCTTATTACAGACTCCAAAATAGCTCCTCTCTGATATGGAAAAATAAGTTTTGATGTACTATGAATGTGCCCTAAAGTCAGTTCATACGAATATGCCATCACTCCTAGAAAAGGCTTAACTCTTATAATGGACTTGACCATGAATAAATCCAGAATATATATACACACTATTGATAAATAATTAAAGGCTTTTATGACTCTGATTCAGTGTATTGTGGATGAGGTTTCACTCCTCCCGAAAGACCAAGTCCGCAGTTGGGAAATACTCCTCAGCTGTTACTGTTTTCATAAAGGACAGCTATGGTAAAGAGGTGTTCTTGCAAGCACAATCAGTACACCAATTGCAACTGTCCCTGAGCAATCCGATCTGATAATGATCTATGCCTGGGTTATCCTTCAAAAGTGTTCACAAGGTGCAACGTAATGGACACCAAGTGTCCAGAAGCTATGGAAGTAACTGGTGAAGGTTTTAGAGATCACTTGATCTTTAAATAAGTCAAGGCCTGGACTTTTTTTAGATGAGGCTGCTTCATTATGGGTCTGTCTGGCCAAGAAGTACTGCAGGAGAGGTTCCTTTGAAGATCTCTCCAGTGTCAGAGGTTTATTTATTTGGCGTGCAAGAGAGGGTCTTCACTTACATTATTCCCAAGCTTCGAAACATACTGTTGATTTGTTGTCATTCTAAGTTTCAAAAATGTTTTAAGTCATCGTGAATGATTTCTGACCAGAAAGATTGGATGCAAATACTGTAAATATATGAACAAATATACTTTGGTCATTCAGTCATTTCCCCCCTTCATGAAGGAACCAAGATAAAAATATTTCAATCTAATCTCCCTATTCTGTCCCTCTCTTGTTATAATTACACGAGTACCAGTCTTGAGTTAAAAACTGCTTTTTTTTCTTACCTGCCTGTTTGCTTCAATATATAGTCCAAGAGTGTTAACTCGGTAACATAGTCCATCTTTCATGATGTGAACATAACAACGAATGTTTCCTCCATGGAATGCCTCTTTTACATCTCCTCTGCAATTGTTCCAGCATATTCTGTCTGTACCCAATTCAAACCAGCTATCACCCTTCATAAAGCTATAAATGTCTGTGGAATACAAATATATAAATCATAAACATTCCAAATGGAATCAAAGTGAGCATTATATATGGCACATTCACATATTTTTTTCTTTTGCACAGAATGAATGGGTGGGTAAAGAGTGGCTGAACTTATCTTTTACGAATGACATTATACCACATTGCTCAATATTCCAATCTTTGCCACTGCCCAGAACAACAATGGACTCTGGGATTGTTGGCCCATAGGTAATATATCACGACAATGAAAAAAACAGTGTGGTTCCATCCACTGGCTAGAAAAAGAGCTGCTTTTGGAAGAAATATCTTGCTAACACCCAAAGATCTCTGTTTTAACTGGGATCAAAGAAACAAATAATAAAAGTATCAGCGTTAAGAAAATGCTTTGTTTTTTCCTCCCAGAAATAAGACTAATTTCTGCTTCAATTGTAAGAGAATAATGTACTTTTGTAATATATGAACAAGGCCCCATAAGTTCCTGTCTCTTATATGGCTGTCAAAAGAAAGGAGTTTCTTTCTTTAACAGACCAAAACTCCCCATTTCAGCCAAATTCAGGAACCCAATGTTTGTTTAAACTGATCTGTTAAACAAGCTGACTGCCTTATTATAACAAATGATAACTTCCCAAGTTTGGATATAATACGGAACACTAACTTACTTCTGGCATTAACAAACTGGTCACCCTCATTATCTTTGCCTTCACCTTTTCCCATGTTGTTTCTTATCTTTTTAAACCCTGGTGGCAACAATGTCGCGTTTATTTCTATATGTAATTTTACCAGATTTTTGATTGAGACAAGCTTTTTTTATTTGTCAAGAAGCAGGCTAAAAAGAGTTTATGAATTGGGAGATGATTGCATTCCCCATTTTGGAGTAATATTCCCCAAGTGATATTTATTTTCTCCTCCACGGGTGGTTTTTTTCTTCTTTTTTTGTACTAACCTGTTTTCTGGTCCTTTTTCTTTTGGTCTTGCTCTTTGTGGTTTTGGTCCTGCTGAAATTGTGCAGGAGAGGAAAACTGCTTTCTAACCAAGTATGGGATCAATTCACTTCTGATTGAAGTAAATCTCCTAAGGAAATTAAAACAATAGCACTAAGATAAATATATTATTTACAAGTTCCTGAGAAAACAATGGCTTCTTTCTTATAGTTGATGTTCAAATAGCTGTTCGCAAAATCTAGATTTGAACAAGAGCAGAACATTTCAAGAATAGTCTAAAACATTAATCTGTAAGTTTGTAACTAAAATATAGTATTGGTCCTCTTTATACCCTTCCAGGACCAACTCTCGAATTCTGTTTTCCAGCTGCAGTTTGTGTTTGCATCTCAGGTAATTTATTTCTGCCTTAACTGCAATGTATCCAGCATGGCAAAATACATTCTCTCTTTTTATAGCCCTGAGCAGAACTTGTAAGTAGTCCGTTTTCCCTTTTCTGGGAATTTGTGCCTTCCCCCTGCCTCTCAGCTTCAGCAGCATAACATTCACAGTCTATTTAAAGGGAATGGTGGCTTGACACATTCTCAGCTCCCTCTTTGTAGCCAATCAAATGCAACCCAACCAGCTGATTTCATTGCAAAATGGAGCTGTCATTGACATTGACTATTTTGATTATTTATAGATCCTTTAAAATGTTTTTGCATGCCCAGTAATGCAGGCAAAGGAAGCTGGGTAAAACTGACCAAACTGGAATGAAACATACCAGGCTATTTGGATGCTATGTTGTTGGGAGCAGCTGTTCCACAGGAGGAAAGCCCACAATCTCATTTATATGTCCTTTCCTATTAAATATCCTGGTGACTCTTAGCAGGAACACTGAATGGACTGATTCTCTCTGCCTGATGCATGATCAGACCACTGAAAAATAATTTGGACATCTGATAAAATGGACTATGTGTGATGAGGCACAAAAACCCCAACCTATACATTAGTTAAGGTACCACAACATAGTTCTTGCTGCAAAAGATATCACTGAATCTGACCTGCAAAGTATTTGAAACACAGACTAATATAATTTCCTAGCAGAAAAAAAAACATAGAAACTGCTTTGAGTCAAGCTCAATATTTGGTGATGTTATTATACTCTAACATTCTCCAATGTTGTGGAAGTCACATTAGCAAATCAAAACAAGGTGTTTCATTGCTGGGCTGCATGGTATATTCCTAGAAGCGGCCTTTGTCCTACAATTTGGCTACAATTCAATATGACCACTTGAAAGATGTTGACCAGAATTGTGCAATGGAAAGGCCTGTCCTCCTTCCTTATCCTGACCTTTAGAGATGTATGAAAGATAAGTGAGGAGGAAGGTGTAGGGCCCAATGGAAGGTGTGGGAAACATGTCTAAGGTGCTGCAGAGTGGGGAATGAGGGAGAGAATGGGTGGGGGATGCTGCAGAAGATCTGCAATCGGCCATAAGGATGAACAATCGTGGGTACATTGCAGCTGCTGTAACTTTAAGAGTGTGATGTAAGTAGCTTTGGGAGAGGGGTCTGCTGTAACCTTCAATGGTTAAGTGACTTATTATAAGTTAAGGATGCCTAGAGTTCTAATAGAGAAAGAAATTCTTGTCAATGATTAAAAATATCTTAAAGATTTAATTATGTTGTATTTCAGAAAATCAAACACAACAGTAAAAAAAGTAAAGGAAGAGAGGTGAAAGGAAAGGTTATTTGTGAACCTTATAGTTATAAAGTGAATTCAAATAATAAAACAAGTTATTTTCCCCCCAGCTCTCTAATATTCCAAACTAGAACAATCAGCTATCATTTCTTTCCCCCATCCCCACTGCTATAAAGAAAAGTCATCACACTTTAAAGAATAAAAACAAAACAATGTCAAGAACAAGGGCATTAGGGAAAAAACATTTATTCCAGCCAATATTAAAATCTCAGTACAAAAGCAGGAAAAATTTTCCTTAATATATATTTTCCTTGCTTGTACCTTCAAGGAAATGGAGGAGAACTGAAAAAGAGTTAAAACCTCTAGTTAATACCATCTGCCTCTTTGGCTCCTTAAGTCAAAATTTGGTTGATTTCACATAATATGGCTTTGGTAAGCATATTCTGAATTTGGAAACTCTCTTGAGCAATTTATTCTTTTAAATAATCATAATAAAGTTTGCAGATGACACAACAGTGCTGCGTCAGTGAGGGGACGAATCAGCATACAGGGAAGAAGTCCAAAAGGCATCCGCATGGTGCTCAAGAAACAACTTACATCTAAATACTAGTAAAACAAAGGAGATGGTGCTAGATTTCTGGAAGCACAGAGAGGAACCTGCCCCACTGTATATCGAGGGGGGCTGTGTGGAGAGTGTTTCCTCTTTTAAATTCTTGGGAGTGCTTATTAGTCAAGATCACACCTGGAAAAACAACACGTCTCTGGTGATTGGAAAGGCCCAACAGAGACTTCATTTCCTTAAAGTCCTGCGAAAAAATCAGGTGGAACAACGGCTGATGACCTCTTTCTATCGGTCCACCATAGAAAGTGTCCTCACATATTGTATTACAGTATGGTATGCTGGTTTAACAGCTGTGGACAGAAGGCACTACAGAGAGTGATCAATTCGGCACAAGAAACCATTGGTTGCCCTCTGACACCACTGGATGACATCACCAGATCTCGCTGCTTTAGCAGAGTAAGGAAGATACTCAGAGATGATTCGCACCCTGCTCAGTGTCTCTTTGCACTTCTACCATCAGGCAGAAGACATCAAAGTATAGCCAGCCGAACAAACAGGTTTAAAGATAGTTTTTATCCGTGGGCTGTGAGACTTTTAAATACAACCACAATCACTCCATGCACATGCTAGTTTTTTTTCTTTTTCTTTCTTTTTTCGTTTCTGTAATAATTTTGCACCAGTGAGGTTAAAACCAATTTCGTTGTATTTAAGTACAATGACAATAAAGATTATACTTATACTTAAAATGCATGGCATTTCTGAGATAGAGAATCAAGCATTAATGGAAAAATTAAGCAAAAAAATCTGATTGCAATTTACATCATTTTCCTCTCCCTACTCCTAGCTCGATTTACACTTTTAAATGACAAGTGAAAGAAATGTTAAAGTCGTCAGGTAGACCAGGATATTTTAAATAATTCCATGTGCGTTACTCAAATTATAACCATGGTGACTTTAAGTTTAACACAACATGCCTGCCTTTGTGTCATTCGGCTGTGAAATTTTATGGCACAAGTGGAAGCAAATTTAAACTGCCCCTTGGGTTCAAATCTCTTTGCAAAAAAAGAGGAAAAAATAGAAAGACAAAACTTTTATCATTGTTCTGCTAAGAGATACAAGCTTCCTGCTATGGTATTCCAATTAAAGCACTCATAGTCTAAAGCAAGACTGTATTTCACTATTTCATCTTCTTGTTTTAGAATTTTAAATTATAAACATTGAACAGAAAGGCAGAAATATAGCATATGAACAGAGTAAATACATAAATAAAATATTGACAGCTGCTTGTTAACAAGTCAGACAATTATTGTAAACAATCACTGGTGAGGTGGATAATGTACTAATAAGAATCTTACAAAGGAACTTTAGTTAGTAAACTTTAGCCTCTTCATTTTCTATTGCTTTGTCTATTTTGTGGTCCCACTAGTCTTGCTACTTGTTACTACTTTGTCATGCCACCGTTTGTAATCAGTATTGTCTCGCAGCAGCTAAGTAGGTGATCCACTGTTTCTTCAGCTTATTTGCAGAGGTGGCATTTGCTGTCTGTTGCTGTCTTTTCAATTCTGGCTTAATATGTATTAGTTCTTAAGGCCTGGTCTTATGCAGCTCCAATCACCACCTGTGTCTCTTCAATTTTCCTGCTGTTAGCCATTGCCAGGTGTTGTTATTATCTGCTTTGCCTATTTTTTATGTACTGGCCATGTAATATTTTGGGTTGTTATGCCTCTTTTCTGTTCTTCATTTGTTCTTTCCTGTAGACCAGTTTAGTCTCTCCTATACTCAATTAAGTCTTCATGATATACTAGCCTCAAGGCATCTTCTTCACTGTCCCTCAGATATTCATCCAATGCCCCTTTTTCTTCTTCAACTGTCTGGTGGACTTGCAACATTCCATACCCACCTATTTTCCTTGGCAAGTAGAGTCTGTCAATTTCACTGCATGGATGTTTTAGTTCTGCTTGAGTTTAATTAACTATTCCAGCTGTATATCTAATGACTGGAATTGCCCTGATATTAATTGCCATATGTTATTAATTGCTGCCACTGAGTCAGGACCTTAAGATCTTTTTCACTTTCATGATGTATTCACTTCTAACCTCCTTCTTGATTTCAGCGTGTTTGATATTATCATCTTGAAGGATGCCCAGGTATTTGTAGTAATTGTCTTCATCCAGTGTCTTGATATAATTTCCATAGGACATTTTGATTCCTCCAGTTTTCATTATTTTTCTACTGTTGATGATGAGAGTGGCTCATCTATCCAATCCAAATGCTATTACAATATTTTGGCTGCATATATGAAGTGCTGAGCAGCGATTCAGATGGTTTTTCATACAGCTTCAGACCATCTATGTAAAGGAGATAGAATAGCTGGGCAGATGTTTTTGATGTTTGATAGCCATGCCCTGGCTTGTTCAATATTGCTGAAGAGGAATTAGTGCAATGACAAAGAGTAGTAAGTCTGATAGTAAATCTCCTTGAAATATTCCTCCCTTGATATTAACCTTTCTAAGTCTATCACCACTTATTATTAATTATGTCCTCCACTGACCTTTGCATAAAACTTCTGATATTTCTACTAACTCTTCTTGTTTCTAGGCACTTGATTATCCAATCCTGTGGCAGAATCAGATGCCTTCTTGTACTCAATCCAGCTTTCCTTTGCTTTACAGAGCAGCAAAGTTGTAAATGTGTGGCCTGATCAGAGATTTTTCATCACTGTGGTAACTGTGAATGGTTGCCAAACCAGACAGTTACTAAATAAGAACTATATCTGTATTTTAAATTGGGCTTGTTTTAAACTATATATTTTAATAGATTTGTAGACACCTAGTAAACTTGGTGCTTTAAAAAAGTATCAGATAAAAATGCAGAAGTATTACTAAGCCAG